AAGGGGGGGAATAAGGGGGGGGGGATTATAGGGGGGGCATCTATTTATGCATTTACTTATTTTTTCCGAAAAAAAAAAAATTTTTGTTCCTAAGGAACGGTTTGTAGCTGAGTATTTTGTTTAGGCCAGGGGGTGTATTTGCCTTTAATTTATAGATCCATCTTGTTTCTACCTGTAGTAATTTCTGATCCACATCTCCTCCATGCTCATGTGGATGCATATGGTCTAAGATATACTGTAGAGTCGTAAGAACTCTACATCAAAGTTATGATATAGACCCACGTGTCTACTCACAGATGTAGTCAGTTTACCATTGCTCGTTAAATAAACATGGTCTTTGATGCATTTCCACGCTAGTCTGATAGTCTTTCCTAACAATATTTGGCTAAGTGTGTCATGTAGCTCTTCATTGGAAAATAGATGTCGCTCCCATCCCCCCAGATACAGGTCAGCATACGATGGGGCACAGCAAGTGCCCATCACAACCCCCTGCACCTGGAAGTAATGGGACCCTCCAAATGTGAAGACATTTCTAGTCAGTACATGTCTCAGCAAGTCAATTACAAACTCGTTATACAGCCAATATTGTTTTGGTCTCTCTTTTAGGAATTCATCGACCATTTTCAGGCCCTTTTCAAGTGGTATGCTGTTATACAGCGTTTCGATGTCTATTGCTACCAGCCAGCATGCATCTGGTACATTAAAAATAATCGAATATATATATGGCAACGATATATCGATGACGTCCTTATGATTTGGACCGGCACAAAATTGGATTTAACAAAATTCAAAGAAATGATGGATGATAATGATTTCAACCTGAGATTCACAATGGAAGCCTGTCAAAGTAAAATTACGTTCCTGGACTTAACCATCTTTATCCGTGAAAATAATACACTGGGGACTAAACTGTTCAGAAAAGAAACAGCGGGCTACACATTGCTACATGCGCTAAGTGCACATCCAACCTTTCTGAAAAATAATATTCCATACTGCCAATACATAAGGCTAAGACGCTCAAATGACGCTCAAATGATGAAGACTTTGAAAAAGAGGCAAAATCGTTAGAGGAAAGACTGAGTGAAAGAGGATATAGCCAAAACATCCTAAGAAAAGCGTATCAACGGGCCAAAACCCAAAATAGACAAAGCCTACTTTATAGACAAAAAGATGAAAGACATTCCAAAGAACAGGTAAATCAAACTACCAAAATAGTAACCAAATTTTCGAGACATCATGGAACATTAAGAGAAATCCTCCACAAGCATTGGCATCTGCTTACTGAGGATAGAAGAGTTCGAAAATTTGTGAAGGATAAACCAGAATTAGTATTCAGAAAAACAGCATCAGTTGGCGATTCTCTAACACATAGTTTTTACAAAACAGAAGCAATGAAAAAGAAATGTGGGGAGAAGGGTTTTCAAAAACGTGTCGCATGTGGAAGGAAACGTCATTCCCCTTCCGAATGTAAAGGAATGGACTCTCAAGCATTCAGTAAACTGTCAATCAATCAATGTTATTTACCTAATGTACTGCAAATGTGGGGCGTACTACATAGGAAAGACTATCAGACCAGCATGGAAACGCATCAAAGACCATGTTTATTTAACGAGCAATGGTAAACTGACTACATCTGTGAGTAGACACGTGGGTCTATATCATAACTTTGATGTAGAGTTCTTACGATTCTATATCTTAGACCATATACATCCACATGAGCGTGGAGGAGATGTGGATCAGAAATTACTACAGGTAGAAACAAGATGGATCTATAAATTAAAGGCAAATACACCCCCTGGTCTAAACGAAATACTCAGCTACAAACCGTTCCTTAGGAACTAAAGAAATGTTTTTTTGGAAAAAATAAGTAAATACATAAATAGATGCCCCCCCTAATAAATATCAAAACTAATAAATGAAAATAATTATTAAATATAAAGAAAGAGATACACTATAGATGAGAGCTGTAATTGATTTGGATAGATAGATATGAGCATGTGACAGAGGATATGTATACAGATGCATGTATGGATATGATTATGTATATGCAGTTATATGTCAATATGAATATCTATGTAACGGAGGATGTGTATGCAGATGCATGTATATATATGATTATGTACATGCAGTTATATGTCTATACACTAAGAAGTTTAAAAGAAGTTGTTTTAGGAACCTGACTGCATGACATGCATACATGTACATGTACATATGCCGGGGGTGGATGTGCATATAAGGACAGGGGAGTCAGACATGAAGGAAGAGCCAAAGGATACACATAGAGAGAGACTAGAGACAAACGATACAAACAGGATACAAAGAGGATCCAACACTTTGAGACTGAAAAGGTAACTTTGTTGTTCAACAAGACTGCATATATGGGCACTGGTAATAAATAGAGCGCTAGATGTGATACACTTTGGGGTCTATTCACAAAGCTGCCGAGGGCAGCCGAGTGAATGACCGATCAGAAGTGAAGTGAGCCGAACACCGTTCGGCTATTCACTTCAGGCTGGTACGGCTGATTTCAGCCGTATATCGGCTGAAATCAGCCGTACATCGGCTTGCTTCGTGTGGCTTCGGATCAGCCGAACATGCTCAACATGTTCGGCTGACCCGAAGTTTAGAAGGAGTTAGACTCAGCCGATCCAACATCTGGATCGGCTGAGCCGAACCTCCGGCAGGCTTCACACTGCTGTTCGGGCTATTCTGAAAGATCCCGAACAGCAGTGAGAGAATAGCCGAATGCCGCCGAGCGGCATTTGGATGGTTTAAATTAATGTTTCTTTATAAAATTAACTAGAAGAAGAATAAATAAACGAAGAACAAATAGTAAATAAATGAACATGGTTATGTTATAGATATCAGGACTCGAGACGGTCCTAGTGTGCATCTGTGGCTCCACTGCATGAAAGCTCTGGGGAGGGCTGGATAATTATCCTGTCTTCCTGGAAGTAGGTCTCTGGATGATCCCGGAGTCTGGGGTGAGTGCCTGCATAGTTAAGCTAGGAAGAAACATGTTCAGCTAACAGAATATATAGATTTGTAAAATATGGTGTACTGATGGACATATCGCTAAACAATGAATTATCTATTCATAACCAGATTCTTGCCGGGAATAAAACTCCCTGAGGAAGCTTTAAAAGCAAAACGCGTTGGATTAATTGGAGCAGTTTATTACTGCACATGAATTATGTGACAAAATGAGATGTGCATATAATATGAATGGAAAATTTAAATACATGAATTGTGAGAATTAGGCAAGAACCTAGGCTTCAAGAATCATGCTGATCAATAATAATGAATTGTAACCTTTTGTTATGTATGAATTTTAATGATTTGTAATAAATTTATATAAACTGAAAACCCTCTGACGCCTCTTTAAAACCCCATTACAACCTAGGTTGTGAATGTTTTTGTATAAAGGTTTGTTAACAACCCATAAGGGGGATGTTTCTCATGCTTACAGGATGCACAAACTTTGCAAGTTGTTACATAGCTCGTTACGGTTTCCTGCATTTTTGGCCACCAGAAATATCGCCGTACAAGTTCCAGTGTCCTGTTGATACCAGGATGACCTGTGGCTGGTGAATTATGCAGACGTTTAAGGATTTGGACATGCATATTAGGTGGTATGCATAATCTGGTGCCGTAGTAGAGAAACCCCTCGCCATCTTGATCGAGTCCTTGAGGGTGATTGTGTTTGGCTTGTAAATCTGTTTTGAGTTGTTGTTTTAAATCAATCGTGGCGGCTAATACCCTTTCTGGTGGAATAATGGAAGTGGGTACAGTGTCTTCTCTAGAAGTGTCACCAATCCTAGAGAGTGAATCCGCTTTACCATTTTTTGACCCGGGTCTGTAGGTTATTACATAATCGAACCGATCGAAGAAGAAGCTCCAGCGTACTTGTCGGGAGGACAGGGTTTTATTCGTCTTTAGATACAAAGATGCAAATTACGGTGGTCTAAGTAAATTATAATAGGGTAGAGTGTACCCTCAAGTAGGTGTCTCCAATTCTCTAGAAAATCTTTTATGGCCAATAATTCTTTTTCCCCTATGGGGTAATTTCTTTCAGCGTTGTTAAGCGTTCTGGAGTAGAATGTGACTGGGTGCAGTGGAGAAGAGAGCGATTCCCTTTGGGACAAAACAGTCCCAATGGCTAATTCAGAGGCGTCTACTTCGAGAATGTATTGGTAGGTGGGGTTAGGCAACTGTAGTATAGGTGCGGAAGTAAACCGCCGTTTTAGGTCATCAAAGGCGTTTTGAGCTTCCGAAGTCCAGGTGAACCTCAGTTTGGAACTGGTAAGTTTAGAGAGAGGTTTTACCGTGGAAGAGAGATTTTTTTATAAATTTCATGTAAAAATTAGCAAACCCTAGGAATTGTTAAAGAGCTCTTCGGGAATGAGGTACTGGCCAATTGAGAATGCAATCAATCTTGGTGTTGTCCATCCGTATGCCTTCAGGAGAGATGATGTACCCTAGGAATGGAATGGTAGTGTTTTCAAAAGTGAATTTCTCCAATTTGGCATAAAGACGGTGTGCTCGGAGTCTGGATAGGACCCATCTCACATGTTTCTGATGTTTTTGTGAACTGTCGGAGTATATGAGAATGTCGTCAAGGTAGATGACCACCCATATGTCTAGGAGATCCCTAAAAATATTGTTATCAAAGCATTGAAACCTGGCAGTGGCGTTGCTTAACCCAAATGGCATAACCATATACTCAAACAGCCCGTAATGGGTCCTGAAGGCAGTTTTCCATTCAGCTCCTGCCCTCATGCGGATTAGGTTATAAGCACATTTTAAGTCTAGTTTTGTGTGAATCCTGGCCGTCTTTAGGCATTCGATGAGTTCTGGAATGAGTGGTAGAGGATATCTGCTTTTTACTGTCATTTTATTTATTGCTCTGTAGTCGATTATGGGTCTGAGGCTGTTGTCTTTGTTGCGGACGAAGAACATCCCAGCTCCAGCGGGGGAGGTAAGGGTCGGATGAACCCTTTTTTGAGGTTCTCCTCCAGATAGTTTTTGAGGTGGTTTAATTCAGGTTGGTATAAAGGGTATATCCTTCCTACGGGAGTTGTACTGCCCGGGAGAAGATCGATAGGGCAATCATATGACCTATGGGGAGGTAGTGCGTCTGTCATCTTTGTGTTGAACACATCTTGGAAATCGTGGTAGTGACAAGGAATGTCATCCAGGTTGACGTGCATAATTGTCTTCAAGGGGTAGCAGGTCTCTCGGCAGTAGTCAGAATTCAACTGCATTCTGTTTTCGGTCCATAGGAGGGTAGGCTGGTGTAGTCTCAACCAGGGTAGGCCCAAGATGACAGGGAATATGGGAGATGGAATAACATCAAACGTTATGCATTCTCCGTGGTTGTCGCTGGTAGTTACCAGCAAAGGCAGAGTTTGTAGGTCTATTGGTCCTGAAGACAATGTGGTTCCGTCGATTAAACTGACAGGGGGGGCCTGAATTTCTTGGAAGTGGAGATGTCGTTATGGTGGACCAGTTGTGCATCTATAAAATTTCCACATACTCCGGTGTCAACCATGGCCTCAATCTGCAATCTTCTTTGTTCCCACTGTAGGGATAACGATATATATATATAGGTAATTTGTTGATTTGAGATGTGGGGAGTAAATCTTAGCAATGCGAGGGATCTTACCTGCGTTCTTCTTCCTTACAGAGGGACATTCTACAGAGATACATACATGCAAAGATTTTGGTTTTGTCTTCTGGGTCTTTCGTCTTGTGAGATCGGTCCCCTTATTATGCTTACCTCCATATGGTCAGCAGGAGGTGAGGCGGTTGATTTCCGCGGTGTACAGGGTATTCCTGTGAGTCTCTCAGATCGTCTTTCTCTAAGTCGCTGGTCGATAGAAATGGAGAGCTGCATTAGAGCTTCAAGGCCCTGTGGTAATTCCACTCTAGCTAGCTCGTCCTTTAAAGCCTCTGAGAGGCCCAGACAGAATTGGTTCGTAAGACTGATGTTATTCCATTCCGTCTGTCGCGCCCAGCGTGTGAATTCTGCGATAAATTTTTCCACGGGTCTTTTACCTTGTTTAATACTTCAAATAGCGTTTTCAGTTTAATTGTTTCCCTGGGTCATCATACAGCTGGGACATAGCAGTGATGAACCCGTCATATGACTCCAATAACGGATCATCAGTTTCCAAGTACATATTTGCCCAGGCCTTTGGCTCCCCCCGAAGGTATGAGATAATAGTGCGCACTTTTACTCGATCGTTTGGGTAAGTCCTGGGCCTCAACTCGAACATGAGTTTACATGCGTTTAAGAAGTCATTGTAGTTCTTACGTTCTCCCGAATAGATGTCAGGAGGGCTTACTTTAGGTTATGGACCTGCACTAGCAGAGGCCCCCTCGGGTAGCCTTTGGGCAATGTAATCGCGTAGGTTTTGGTTTTCTGTTCGGAGCTCTCCAACATTCTGAGTTAGAGCCTCTACTCTTTGGGAAAGATTTATTATGTGCTGTGCTAGCTCCACTGGATCCATTTTTAGGGTCCTATTGAACTGTAACGCCTTGCTCCTGGGGATGTTCAGTTATGGATCACAACTGCGGAGATGATGTTTTAGTTTGAACGAACGGGAGTCAGATTGCAACTAGGTCTCTGATGCCTAGTAATGGGATAATGTAGAGAGGGAGCTGCTTCTCATCATACCCCGTATGTAGGGACGCACAAGCAACAGGCTGTACAGAGGAGGTAAGTATTAGAGGAGCAATGTAATGATCCCTGGTCGGTGCTATAGGGGTTAATAGGAGAGGCAGTGAGAAGCAGTGGCAACTGGCTGACACAATGTGGTAGTCTGTAATCTTATGCACAGTTCTTATTTAACTTCTTCTGGCTGCTGTGTTCTGGCTGCTGTGAATAGCGTGTAACCAGTCTATAGTCACTCAAGAGTGCAATGCAACTGCACCTGGCTAGTACAATATGTTGTGACCCAGTAACTAGCATATATCCAAGTCAATTGAGGATAGCAACCAGCAAGTAATATCAATTTAAGTCAATGGAGTATAGCAACCAGCAAGTAATATCAATGCAAGTCAATGGAGGATAGCAACCAGCAAGTAATATTAATGCAAGTCAATAATGGATACCAAGGAGCAAGTAATATCAATGCAAGTCAATGGAGGATAGCAACCGATAGTAGTGTCCTGGAACCATACACTGAGTGGCCAGATTATTATGAGCACCCCATCAGTACTCCGTTGGGCCACCTTTTGCCTTCAATACTGCGGCGATTCTTTTGGCATTGACTCCACGAGATGTTGAAAGGTGATGCGAGGAATCTGACACCATGCCTGATGAATAGCACTGTCCAGTTCTGTGAGATTTGATGGTTGTGGAACCAGCTGCCTGATGGCTCTTTCAACTTCGTCCCACAAATACTCAATTGGATTGAGATCTGGTGATCGTGGGGGCCACCTAAGCAAGGTAAAGTCTCACTCATGTTCTTGAAACCACTCCTGCACAATACGAGCACTGTGGCATGGTGCATTGTCTTGTTGGAAGAAGCCATCTCCATTGGGATACGCCATCAACATGATAGGATGAACTTGATCAGCAACGATACTTTGGTATGTTGTGCTATTCAGACGTTGTTCCACATGAATTAAAGGGCCCAAATCATGCCAGGAAAACATGCCCCAAACCATAGCACTGCCCCCACCATCTTGAAGGGTTGTACTAATGCATGTTTGGTGCATGCTTTTATGCTGTTCCCACCAAATTCTCACTCTGCCATCTGCATGATGCAACTGGAAACGTGATTCATCGGACCACATTACTTTTTTCCAATGCTCGACTGTCCAATCCTTGTGTTCCTGTGCGAATTGGAGGTTTTATCGTGTTAACTGCAGACAGGTGTTCGAACAGGCCTTCGGCTTCCATATAATATATGATGCAGTGTACGGCGAACAGTGCGTTCAGAGATCATTTGAGAGGATCCCTGATTAAGATCTGCAGTAATTTGATGCACTGTTGCCCTTCTGTTGTCTTGTACCAGTCTTAGCACTCTCCGTTCTGCCCTAACATTCAGACCCAGATTTTCAGCTGACAGTCCAGTCTTTAAACACTTTAACAACAGCTGCTCTCAAACATTTAACAAATTCTGCTGTTTTGCTGAAACTCTCTCTATGGCTCAGAGCGCCAACAATCATCCCACATTCAAAGGCTGTTAAATCGCGTTGTTTACCCATATCTTCCGAAAAAAATCACATCTACTGGCGTGGCAAACAACCTGCTTCCTTATTTATAATGGTCTGGCCCTCTAGCAACTTCAGCGCAAAATTATAGCTAATTTGCCTACAAACGTCAGGTGGTCATAATAATCTGGCCACTCAGTGTATAGGATCTAGCCCAGGTACTTGCGGTTTAGGAGGCTGTTGGGTTCCAGGGAGGTTCGGTAGACGGTGGATCTGTTCCACAGATTTGGGGTCCAATGTGCGGCAAGGTGGACACCGAGTTGATCAATTACCGATCAATTAGCGAGCAGCGGCTTTAAGCCGAGTGCTCGAGTGAGAGGGGGTGGAGTCCCGTGGCGCACCTGCACAGGATGGCGACGGAGCTTAGATGGGAGGAGGCGTAGAGGGCGCAGGACGGTGACTGACTCCGCCGCTGGACTGCAACAAGGTACGTCTGTTACAGGGACATGTATGGTGATCTGGAGACATGTATGGTGATCTGGGGACATGTATGGTGCTTCGGGGACATGTATGGTGCACTGGGGACATGTATGGTGGTCTGGGGACATGTATTCTGCTCTGGAGAAATGTATTGTGCTCTGGGGACTTGTATGGTGCTCTGGGGACAAGGCTCGTTGCCTCCAAATCTGAAACAGCATAATAATTCATTTTGTCCAAAACTTTATGCAGTACACATCTACGATATTGTCATAAAACTTTTGTTATCTTACTTTTTCATGAATACGGAATATTAAAACTGTCCTGTTTTTGGCTCAAGGAAATATGGTCAGCCTTTAACTAATAATGAAATCTGCGAGCACAGTACAGACAAGCTTAATTATGGCAAACATTAACTCCACCCCCAGCCCCCTTCAACATTACATAGGGGGAGCTAGGTAGGATTATTGAGCACGTATATAGCACTTAAAAATGTATGCAGCAATTTTTTAATTTTTTTTTTTTACAAGTTATGCTATGTAAATAGGAACATGTAACATAAATAAAGTAGGTGTTATCCCAATTTGGCTGCAAAAGTCAAAATACACTTTAAAGCTTATGATGTACACCCTAAAAAAAAAACTTTAAGGAAGTACCATGGGTGCACACCCCATTCCTTTTTCTCTTCTTTTTTTACATTTTTTTTAATGTGTTCTTACTTCCCAACACCTTAGTAACCCTAAGTTATCTTAATCAGCCCAAATATATGCCCTTGTTCCCCTTGGCTATCATTTTTTTTCTGCCTTATTTTTATAAAGCTTTTTTGTTAAACCATTATTTATCTTTTGTTTGTTTTTATTCAAAGTCACCAACATAAAGGCTATTTTGTCCTGAAGAAAGAATAATACATATATTACTTCATCAAGTTCAGGGGGGTAAGTTATTCTCTGTGTCTTCTCAGCACTCTAGAGATCATGTGGGCGAGCCTCTTGCAACAGAGATACATTGTGTTCTATTGTTCAGTATGGACTGTAGAGCTTTGTTAAACCTCTAAACAAGGCCATCCATGGGTGATAGACAGTAGTGATGGGCCGAACACCCCCTTGTTTGGTTCAAATTCGAACTTTAGAACATGGAAA